CCCGGCCCCCACCCCCGCGCGCGGGGCGGGCAGGGGTGACGTCACCCTCTGCAGAGAGCACCACGCCCCCTCACTGCCTCGCTGCTGCGCAGGCGCGGCGTGGGCGGGGCGGGCAGCGCTGGGTGCCGGCTCAGGTAGCCCACTGCGCAGGCGCACGCTGGGGTGGGCGGGGCCACGGACGCAGGGTTGCTGTGAGCTGGGGCGCACGTGGGTTGTGGCTCAGGGGAGGGGCGAGGGGCTGAGGGACTGTCTTGGGGCGGGCGATTGTGGGTGTTAGAGGGCTGTTGTAGTGTCTCTGGCAGTGTTTTCTTGGCAGTCATTTTATCTTTGAAAAGAGAAATCCACGAACAATTTTTAGTGTCATGAAGTCAAGCTTAAAGGGGTAGGACACCCAGGCCCACACAGGTGCCTGTATGAAATCACCACTGGAAAACATAGGGAGTTATGTGCATAAGCCCCTTAGTTGGAAACTCTGGCTCCTACGGACACCACACAGGTCTCAGAATAGAGGGGCACTGGCCCATCCCTAGACTAGGCAATATCCCTTTGGTGAGGGGGGAGGGAACCACTTTCTGTACGCCACCCTTGGCCAATTAGCAGTGAGGGGCAGGGCTGCCACGGCCGCAACACTGAGAGGTGGGGCCAGTGGAGCCCTTAGCCAATTAGCAGCAAGGGGGCGGGCCACTACAAAAAGACCACTTCCTGCCTTTCCTGGCTGTGTACTGCTATACCTCTTGGCACAGCCAATAGAATTGCAAGGACAGATGATAGACATGTATTTTCATCACATTGAAAAACAGGACCTTTTGCTGTTCATTCCTTATCCATAACTGGACAGGTGACAAAAGGTTTTAAAAAATTGACAGTAAAACAGGACCAATGGCCACCCTAAGGCAGAAAAGAAGCAAGATGCAGAGCATCTGTTCCTTTCCCCACCTGCCCAGCGAGGTGGGGAATGGGGTCATCAGCTCCTCAGCTCCACATTGCAGTGCTGACAACCATTGGCAACATGTCAGGGGTGCATGCGGGTGCATGTGCACCCCCTGAGATTGGCAGTGCAAGCCCTGAAGTTGGCCACTGCCAGTACCCACGGCCACCCCCGCCCGTCCCCCCGCATCTGCAGGAGCTTCTGACTCACTGCCGCCACAACCCCACTGCTGCCACTGTCACTGCCGTCTGCAGGAGGTTGCCATGCCTCCCCAGCCTCGGGAGGCACGCGATGTTCATACTGACATCTGCAAATGAAGACAGGCTTTGAGTTTAAATGATCGGTGCCGTGAAACATTCCTTTGCCTACATGAAAGCTGAAACATTGTCCAAAGCATCTTGTGCCAGCAGCTGCTAGGTTCCTCTTAAACTTGCAATAGCATATCTGTTTAAAAGTCTTCAAAAAGCCTCAACTCCACATATACAATTATATAGTCTTGATCAATGGCATGGTGGTTTTGGGGGAATGAACATTTAAGGCACTGTTTAAGTGGTTTTTAGAGATATGGCACCTTCATAATGACCTCTTTAAAAAGAAAAAATCCTTATTTTCATTCTCATTTAGGAACAATTTTTCCTAATTGTTTTTTTCTGGTACAGATAAGAATAATATGGGATCTATCCACATAAAAGATACCACTGGACTGTCCTCTCTGTCAATACTCATTGTCTAGAAACTGCTGCAGCCCATTGTTCTCATGGTGACAGATGACAGAACAAGGAGCAATGGTCTCAAGTTGCAGCAAAGGAGATTTAGGTTGGATATTAGGAAAAACATTTCCACTAGGAGGGTAATGAAGCACTGGAACAGGTTACCTAAAGTTGTGGTGGAATAGCCATCCTTGGAGGTTAAGACCTAGCTAGACAAAGCCTTGGCTGGGATGACCTAGTTGGGGATGGTCTTGCTTTGAGCAGAGGGTTGGACTAGAAACCTCCCGAGGTCCCTTCCAACCCTAATTTTGTCTGATTTCTATGATTGCTTGTTGATCCAATGTTTTCTGGATGTCTGCAAGGCTGATGTGCTTACAGCTGCTATACTGTGGTGTCAATGGGAATTGGGGGATGAAGAGATCCATCCCCACCTTTACATCCCAATAAATGTTTGTCTACACTAGATTTTTTTTAATTTGAGTTAATCACCCGTATTGCCTAATATTGTCCAGCTCCTCCCCTCCCCCCCGCTTTAAATCCTAGTCTAGTGGTTTTCAACGTTTTTTTTCATTTGCGGACTCCTAAACAGTTTTGAATTTTCACATAATTTTGATTGATCATAGTTATCTTTCACAGACCCCCTAGACATAGTCTATGGACCTGAGGGGTCCATGGACCACAGGTTGAAAACCACTGTCCTAATCAATGGACACCTATTGGGTGTATCTATCCTTAGATCATGAAATAAAACAGAATAGTGATGGCAAAAGGCATATTTCTGAAAATGAAAAAGATATTGACAAATAGTAAAATTTCTATGGGGATGAGGTTAAGAGTTTTGGACTGCTGTGTTATACTAGTCCTCATGTATGCATCAGAATGCTGGACAATATCATCAAGTATGGAAAAGAGAATTGAAGCAAGTAAGATGTGGTTCTTAAAGCACATCTTGAAGGTATATTGGACAAGTCACACTTCAAATTAAGATATTTCGTTAAGAGCAGGCTGCAGGAGGAACCTGCCGATTAACATCAGAAAGAGTTGGAATTATGATGAAAGAGGAACCATGTTATGAGGAAAGAGGAAATTGGAAGTTTGGTCATAACTGGAAAGATTGAATGAAGGAGAGATCATGGAAGACAGAGGTTGACTTATGTCAAGAATTTACCTAAATCAGTGGTCACCAACCGGTCGATCGGGATTGACCGGTGGATCCCAGAGCCTCTTGAAGTTGACCTGGGCTGTGGGGGCTGAGCACGTGTGTGCATGCGCATGCCACATCCCACAAGCCTGGCAATTCAGTCAATGGGGGGGGAAGGGGCAGTGACCCGGGGGGGCACGTGCAGCAGGCCTCAGAGCACAATGCCCAGCCCACAGCTGCAGCCAGGCTCGCTCAGGGCTGCAAAGGGGTGCAGGGGGAGGGCATGCAGCCCGGGCGGGCATTGGGGGATGCATGTTCCTGGATTTGCATGCAGGGCAGGGCAGAGCAGACTGTGGCCAGGGCAGTTGCAGCACCCGGCTGTTCCTGGCCAGGCTGCTCCCAGGCTGGGTAGCTGCGACACTGGGCGGGGGACCCAAGGGTGGGCCATAGTCTCCCCCCAACCCCTGCTCCCAGCATCACCGCCAAGCACAGCGTAGGGCAGGCCCAACAGGAATAGCCTGGCACAGCCTTTCCCTCCCCTTGCCCCTTCCTCCCCCCAAGGATTTGGGGGCTGGGGGCTGGCAGGCACGGGAAAGGGTGAGCTGCAGGTGTGGGCTGGAAGGCTGCACCAAGCTGTTCCCTTCAGGCCTAGCCCATGCTGCACTTGACAGCAGTGCTGGGAGCAGGGGTTGGGGTGGGTAGGGATTCCATGTGACCCTGCTTCCAGCGCTGCTGCTGCAGCCACCTAGCCTGGGCACAGCCTGGTCAGGAACAGCCCAAAGCCACAACTGCCCTGGCCCCAGCCTGCCTGCCCCATCCTGCCCCGCCCCGCCCCACCTGGCATGCAGATTTGGGGGCACGTCCCCCCCCGCCCTCCTGAGCTGTGTGCCCCCTCTCCCCGCATCCCCCATGAGCTGTTTGTGGCACCGTCCCCCACCCCGCCCAGCCCTTCCCCACAGACTTACCTGCTGGTCGGGGAGGAGGAGGGGGGCAGTAGCTCTTTCGTTCCTTTTAATTCCAAAAGTGATCTCCGACCTATTAAGATTGGAGACCACTGATCTAAATGGATGAATGTATCGACACTGGCAATTCTGTATGCATCAAAGAGAAGAGATTTGTGGAAGACCATGGTCACCAACATCCTGTTTGGATATGATAGAAAGAGAGACAGAGAGAGAGAATCTGTCCTAGGAAAAGTCACCTGTTTACATCATTCTTACCTAACAGTTTTCATTTTTTCAAAGCAATGGCAGGGATGTGGGCTGAATGGCAGATTTTGTCATCCTTCTATTCCAATCTACCGCTCGTGGGGCCAGGGATTAGATAATATATGTAACCTTAACAAATGACCCACCAACGGCTTGTAAAGAAGTTCATAACTTTAAGCTGAAGAACAGTTAAAATGAGTGAAGTTTTAAATGTCACTAAAATACAGTTAAAGTCTTCAGAGTAGTGGCTTTCAGCAGATATAAGCATTTTTCTGTTTAGTTAGATATATTGGAAGCTTTTTCCACTCCTGTGTGCTGGGTTGAACATCTCAGTTCAGTTTAGCCTACTCACTTTCAGAGATCACCATCCACCAATTAAAATATTTAAGAGTACTGTGAAATTAATAAAAAATGACGGAGTCTGTCCTTAGTAAAGGAAGCATTATCCTTCACCTAAAGGTAGCTGCATTATTTGTTGCTTTTTTGAGGAAAAAGGGAGATAGTGATTCTACGTTACATGGGAGGATTATGAGATTTAATGGGAACTGCTCTGCAACACACAGGGACTGCAGGGATCCAGGGAGTGCAGTGATGCAGTTGCACTTCCCTTTGATTCCTGTTTCACCCAACATGTAAAATCAACTACCCAGGAGGTGCAGCAACATTTCTATTTAGGCAATCCTGATGGAGTCAATTGACTTCATGACTCATTATAATCTATCTGATCCCTGCTAATCTCTCTTCATTCCACAAGTGTTAATGACCTTCGCTCCTTTTTAATGGTGTTGATAGTCCATTGATCAAGCTATTTTGCTGTTTGTTAGCTGTTCCTAGTAATATCTCTCTTCTCTTTCACAGCCCTGAAGTCTGTTTTTAGCTCTAGCTAAAAACCTGATCTCAGGTGTGGTAATATTAATTCAGGTGTGGAAATGGCTGACAGTGAAGTATTGGCTGCACTGTTAAGATGCTCAAGGATTCTAGATTTTGTTTTACAAAG